ATTTTTTTCTTAAAAGATGTTCAAACTTGCCATGGAGTATTATGGGAAATTTCCACTTGCATCATGGGTTAGATAGCTACATGAACCTTTCATTTAGTTTAAACTTAGAATTTGTACCTAGAAAACTGAATGATTAGTAACCCAGTGATTATTAAATTCTTTCATATTAGTGTCTGCTTGACTTATGTGTACATTTATTCTTTCTTAGTTCATTAGCCTTCCCCCTCTGAGAGATGGCTACTGTCCCTTTTGGTCCCTGCAGCTGGAGTTCCCAGGGCAGGAAGCACAGGAAGGTTAACTAACCTTGGCTATTAAAGGGAAATTGTTCCCTCTTCCCATAGAACAGTTCTGACACCGTCGAGTTTTCCATAGCCAGAAATTCTGACACTAACTAGCCAGAGTGAGCACAGACCCCCCAGGTTAAGAGCTTAGTCCTGTTAAGACTGACCCTCACTTTAGACGCCAATCACAATTAGTGGGTCCCCAGGTTACAGCTTCTGTAGGACTTGGCTACAGATTGAGGGTCCTTACAACCCCCTCCTCAGGTTCAATAATTTGCTAGAAGGGCTCACAGAACTCAGGAACTTTACTTACTATTACTGGTTTATTATAAAGATTATCTCAGAAACAGCCAAATAGAAGAGGTGCATAAGGCAAGGTCTGGAAGAGCTTCTGTCCTCTTGTAGTTTGTGTGTGTCATCCTTTTAGTCCTTGGATGTGTTCACCAACCTGGAAGCTCTCCAAACCCTGTTGTTTAGGGTTTTCATAGAGGTCCCATTGTGTAGGCATAATTGATTAAATCATTGGCCCTTGGTGATTAACTCAATCTCCAGCCCCAAGGATGGGAGGTGCTGTTCAAAGTTCCAAAGGTCTAATCCTGCCTTTGTCTTTCTGGTGACTAGTCCCCATCCTGAAGCTATCCTTGGGGCTCCCAGCCAACAGTCATCTCCTTAGCATACAGAACGACACTTATCACTCCCAGAGATTCCAAGGATTTTAGAAGCTCTTATAGCAGGAACTGGTGTTAAAGAAAAATATTAGAGCAAAAGATATTCCTAGCACCCCTATCACTCAGGAGATTACAAGAGTTTAGAAGCTCTGCCAGGAACCAGGAGCAGAGGCCAAATACATATTTCTTATTATGTCATGGCTGAATACCTTAAAATATATATATTTTTAATGTCGATTCTGTATGTATAGAGGTCTCAGTTAACTTTGAACAACTGATTATATTCTAGAATGATAATGGCACTTTTCTCTGAGGAGCTTTGAATGAAATTTTAAACTGAAATTTAGAAATGAAATACTAGATTAATATGACACTGAAAAGGGATAATCATGTTACTGCCCAAAATTGGGGTTCTCTTGGCCAATGCACATTAAAAAAACCAGTTACTACAGCATCAGCTTTTGGGAAAAGAAAACAGCTTTATTGCTAGATCAGTCCGCAGGGAGACAGGGGCCCATGGCCTCAGATCTGTCTCCCTGGTCCGGGGCTTGGAGCGAGATTTGTGGGATGAAGGGTGGTCTGAAGTGTAGAAGTGAGTTGATCGATGATCTGCACAAGCTTGTCAAGCTTCTTGTCTCTCCATAGGAGGCGTGTTCACAAAACAGTGGTGTTAGCGTGATCTGAGGGTGGAGTTTTCAGCCCTTTGATGTCAAAAAGGTCACTTATTGGGCATTTCTGCAGGCCCATTTGATGGGTTGGTGGTCACACCAACTGGCCTGAATTGGACAAGGGGTCTCAGTTCCTGAAAAACCACTCTTAATTACTCTGTTGATAAGATGGGGTCAGTTGAACTGGTCCTGGAGGGCCTGTTACAATTGTGCTGTTTATCTAGTAACTAGTAAACTAGTACCTAGTAACTCTCTATCTAGTAACTGGAGTAGAATATTAAGGTTCATGCCCAGGGTGTTGCCTTTATGAACTAACATGACTTAAACTCTTGATTTTACAGTTGAGGATGCTAAGCTGTGTGGAAAGGAGACTGGTGAATAAGACAGACATGAGTACTTAGCTTAGTCTCTGCCACATAATAGATACTGAGTAAATGTTTATGAGATTGAAATGAGCTTACTATATTTAGTCTTCTTTTGGATAGAGAGATGACTGCGATGCAAGTCTGTTTCTTTGGAGAGTTTCTATCTTAAATGGGGGATAAAACACATTCATCGATCATTTTGATAACTAGCAGAACTTGATCATTGCAATAAAGGAGATAGAAATAAAATCTGATAGAGATTTAAAGGAGAGAAAGCTCATATCTGATTGTTGGGGTAAAAGGTCACATATGGTATCGGGAAAGACTTCAGAAAAAGTAGCATTTTGAGGTTGTCTGCAAAAGTTAAGATTTCAGGAGGCAGAGATAGATGAAGAAAACACTGAATATAAACGGCCTAAATGTTCCAGTTAAGACAAATGTTGTCAAGCTGGGTACAATAACCAAACCCAACTGTGTGCTATTTAGAAATGCATCAGAGAGGCTTCAGGAATCTTCAGAGTAAATGAAGGAAAAAGATCTATCATGCAAGTGATACCAGAAGAAGGCTGGTGTTGCTATATTACTATATCAGAAAAACCTTGACTTTTCTATCAGGACTGATCCATCAGTGCGTCCTACTCACTATCAAAACTTCTAGTATCTACTGTCAAAACTTCTCAAATCTGACCACTTCCCATACCTTTACTTTTACGCCCCCTTGTCCAAACAGTCATCATTTCTCATGGGAAACCACACAGCCTTCTAATAACTGGCCTTTCTCCTTTCACTCTTGTCCCACTTAACTCTTCTGCACAGGTGAGTCAGATCACATTGCTGCCCTCTCAGAAAGGCTTCCCATTATGGCTAGGGTAAAATAGAAATTCCTCACTCTTGTGCACATTCCCTTCCTTGCTAATCTCATTTTCTGTCCCTCCACTGTGCTCAGTTTGTCCCTGACATATACTGGTCATCTTTTAGTTACTTGAACCTGCTAGGTGTGTTATTTCCACAAGGCCTATGCAGTCATTTCCCCCTCTGCTTAGAACTCCTCTCTTCCACATATTTATATATTTATATGCATCACTCCGTTATTTCAGTTCTTTGCACAAATGTCACCTCAGAGAAGCCTTCCTTGACTACTGATCTAAAATGCCCTGTCACTCACTACCCCCTTACTACTTTTTTCTTTATAGCAGTTAATGTTACTTGTTAGTTTTTTTAACTGTCTGTCTCTACTTTTAGAATGTAAGTTCTAAAGATAAAAGATTTTTATTTGGATTTTAATTGTACTCCCAGAGACTAGAACAGTGACTAACATATGGTAGGTGTTTAAATATGTGTTGAATGGATGAATGGACAAATCTGTTGTCATAATATCAACTGTTTCCTGTGCTCTGACTTTTTAAAATTCTCTAAAAAATTACATACACTAAAATTTGCTCTTTTTGCTTATGGCTATATTCTGACTTTTAATTCTAGTTCTGTATTCCTGATGTCTTTTCTGGGTATCACTTCTCCTTTTGTAGCTTTTTAAAAACAAGTGTAGCTTCCCCAGAATTGTCATTCTGCTTCCTCAAACTCTATTAAAAAATTGAACAACAACAAAAAAACTCCAAACCAAAAGCGAAAAACTTACAAAACCCCCCAGGTTTACAAAGTCCAAGACAAAATCGCTGTTGTTCTTCCAGCCTGAGCCTTGGTTAAGTTATGTCGGTGGCTACCCATTGCCCCGTCTAGAAACCTCTTCATTCTCTTGATCTCTTTCCGTCCCCCTCTATCCCATGCTGCATACACATGCTCAGTCTTAGTTTTACTCACTGTGTTTGTGAAAAGCCTTTTGAGTCTCTTCGCCTTGTCTGCTTTGCTTCAGGTCCCAGTCACCCTTGACCTATACTCATGTGATATTCTGTTAATCCGCCTTCTTTGTGCTCTCTTACTTTCCATTTTTTTCTTCATGTTGCTGCCAGAATTGTCCTTGTATTTTTCACATACAGTCCAGATTATAAGCTATCAAGGGCTGTTATGACTGCTGGAACACCGTCAGGGACTCACGTCCATTCTTTCTGTTTCACCGTCCTTAGCAAGGGTTTCTTCTTTGAAAATGCTTTATGGTCCACAATTACTGCTGATGACCTAGCTGTCTTATCTGTTTTTTGTCTGGAAGAAGTGGAAAGTGCAAGAGTCATCAGTCAACTCCCTTTTAAGGGCCTTTTGAGATCCCAACCCAGTGATTTCTTTCTTTTTTTTTTTTGAGGAAGATTAGCCCTGAGCTAACTACTGCCAGTCCTCCTCTTTTTGCTGAGGAAGTCTGGCCCTGAGCTAACTTCCGTGCCCATCTTCCTCTACTTTATATGTGGGACACCTACCACAGCATGGCATGCCAAGCGGGGCCATGTCCACACCTGGGATCCGAAGCGGCGAACCCCGGGCCGCCGAGAAGCGGAACGTGTGAACTCAACCTCTGCTGGGCCAGCCCCAACCAACCCAGTGATTTCTAACACTGCTCGGCCATCCATAGCTCTTGGGGAGTCTGGAAAAGTCTTTTACTGGAGGACTTGCTTTTAGTGAAGTTCTGTTAGTAAAACAAAAAGGGAGGATGGATTTTGGGTAAGAAACTGGCAGTCTCTGCCACACCTATGTTCCCGCTGCTGAGATGTTTTCATAGTCCCAACCTACCTTTCGCTTCTGTGCTTTTGCTTATGATTATTTTGGCCTGCCTTAGTTGTTTCTTTCCTTTTCTACCTGATTACCTGCCACTTACTCCATAAGATTGAATTAAATGTAAACTCTTAGATATAGTTAAATATAACTCTTAGGTGTAGAAACTGTTCTTTTCTCTGGGTTACCTTAAGCATTTGAATAAGTGAGCAAATTATAGGATACAAATCAGAAAGAAAAATAAAATAGGAAATTTGACCTGGAGACAAACTGTAATGTTTAATTTTATTTCTTGTTTCCCTTGCCAAGAAACTTGACCTTTTGATATGTAATCTAAACCTTAAATATAATCTTTTAAAGGTTAATTGTGTCAAAGAAGAAACATCAAGATACTGTGGAAAGGAAAAGGATTTGATGAAAGCGTATTTATTCAGGTAAACTATTTTTTGAGTGTGAGAGACAAATATAAAGCTGTACTTTTCTCTCTCTATATATTTGAATATATAAAATATCACTAAGCCAGAATAAAGTATGCAGTGGGGATTACATGAAGTTTAGCAAAATGTCCAAGTAATAGATTTGTTACCTGCACTTTAGCTTCCTTATCTATAGAATAGTACCTACCTCACAGCGTTGTTTTGAATATTACGTGAGAATCTTATGTACACTTCTACTACAAATGCCTTTAAATAAGTGCTTAGCAAATTCAGTGTTCTGAGTAGGTATGTCAGGTCCATGTGTGGATGTGAAATGAGCATACTTTAGTTTTGAGAGGTCTGCCAATGTCCTGGTTACAGATTCCTTTGCGCTTGGGTCTGCCCGTCTACCTGAGATTTCTCGAAATCCTTTCTTCCAACGCTGGGATATGGCCTCCGAAGTTGGGAGAGACTGTGTCTCCTCAGGGGCCTGCTGCTGAGGACACTTCTTTCTCTTTCCTTGTCTCCTTCCAAGCTCATTGGAGGAATCTGTGTGTGTGACAGGGAGGTTGGTGGTAACCTTGGAAGCCTCGTTGGGACTCACGTTTTTTTCCAGTTTTTTTGCCAGGCCCAGGGGCAAAGCTTTTCAAAGTCAACATATTTATTGAGTATATATTCAGTAATATTTGAGGGTGTATTATGGCCAGCACTCTGGTAGGTGCATGGAATAATGGGTAAGACACAGGCTCTAACATCAAAGAACTGATTGCCTAGTTTATTAGACAAGTAAGCTCAATTCCAAGGAAATATTTCTGTAATGCTTTTTAAAACTTTTTTATAGGGGCAACGTATTACTCAGAGAGTTCCCTACTGATACCTTGTTTGACGTGAATGCCATCGTTGCTCATGTTCTCTTGTAAGTACAGGGGGTATCCATTCACTTATTGTTATTTATCTGTTAATTTCATTGTAAACAACCACAATCCATTAAAATATTGTAGGGTTTTAACATTATATTTGTAGGCATCAATTTCTCACAAATTGTTCGTCTGTCTTCCCACATAGAGGATCTAAAATTTGAATGGCAAAGGATATAGAAACATGTAGATAGTGTATATAAAAGTAGGAGATGATGTGGGGCCAGTCTGGTGGCATAGCAGTTAAGTTCATGTGCTCCACTTTGATGGGCCGGGGTTTGCTGGTTTGGATCCTGGGCACAGACCTAGCCCTGCTTGTCAAGCTGTGCTTTATATGTGGCAGGCATCCCACATATAAAATGGAGGAAGATGGGCACAAATGTTAGCTCAGGGCCAGTCTTCCTCAGCAAAAAGAGGAGGATTGGCAGTGAATGTTAGCTCAGGGCTAATCTCCCTCAAAAAAAAAAAAAAAAAAAGACAGAACACAACCACATGGTCATAGTATTGGTCTTTTTATCTTTGTGAGGAAGATTGGCCCTGAGCGAACATCTGTAGCCAATCTTGCTGTTTTTGCTTGAGAAAGAATGGACCGGTTTGCTTTTGATTCTGTCTGTGGAGAGGATTTTAACAGGTAAGAAGCTCATCTTTGCTGTTCTCACTGGGATTTTAAAAATATCTGGCATCCCTCCCTCCATAGGCTGATGTTTTTCTGGAGTCTGTAGCTCTGTGCCTGTTTGGTAAGTGCAGAAGCCATACAAAGGGTCCCAGCATGTGCCTGAGTGTCTCTCAGACATGGGAGCGAATCCTAATGTAACTTCCCTGCTGTGGAATCTTGAGGCCTGAGATTCAGGCCTTTGTGGGGTCTATTCCTGCAGTCTCCCGCTGAGTGAAGTCTAGCATTCTCTTTGGTGACAGAGCTAGAAACTGCAACTTGTCAGGGACATGAGTTTACATGGACCTTTCCAGTTTAACGTTGTTGTAGGTCTGTTGCCCACTAAGACCTTCACTGACATTGACTCTCTTTGCTCCTTGCTTGGCTCTCCTCTTCCTTCTCCTTTCCAACTGGACTCTGACAAAAATTGCATGAAAGTTAAACTACAGGAAACTGAAAACTTATAGGTGAAAAGTGGTGATTATTACTTGGCAAAGGGACACTTTTAAATGTTCCAGTACCAGTAATATATTAATGAAAGGTCTTTAGAAATCCTGACAACCATGGACCCTGAGGCCTGTAGACTAAGAAGCCAATTGTAAGGGGTAAAAGATGTCCTTTTGAAGAAGGAATTCCAAAGAGCTGTTGGGCAGCTTGGAAGCCCTTTGCTGGGAGAGAGAAGGGGTGGCTATCTTGAGGGTGAAGTCATAAAAAGCTTAGCAAAAAGTCCAAGTAATAGATATGATCTTTGTTCTCAGGAAGCTTACTAGTCTAGTTTTACAGTGAATACCTGACGACTGTCTTTGACCCAGAAATGAGGGTAAAGAAACAGAGAAAGAAGGTTCTTTGAGGGATAGGGGAGGAGGGTATTAAGACTGTCTCTGACAAGTTTGACCACAAATCCTGGAGTGGCAGATCCGTGTTGGACAACGTGATGACAAGGTGGTTTTGAAAGAATTAGGCCTTAGATGTGGAGAGGCTGTCAGTGCTGGAAACTGGCTAGCCTGTGGGGCTTGTGTCATTCAAGTCCTCTGCAGCAGCATCTCGTTCCTACCGCTGTACCAGTGCTGATTCATGGAACAGTAATTCCACCAATAGATTATCCCCGTGGTCCTTCCATATGCCAGAAACTTGTTAGGCATTGGGGATGCAAAACAGAATAGGGTGTGGCTTCTATTCTCTAGGAAGTCAGCGTTTTGTTGCAGAGACAGATATATAAACGGAAAATACTGTGCAGTAAGTAAAATAGTAGAAATGTATGCATAAGGGCTTCAGGATCCACAGGGTAGGCAATGGTTACTTGTGTCTGGAATGAAGGTGGATATTTGTTAAGGTTTCCTGAAGGAGGTGGCACTTGGGATGAGTCTTAAAGGGTAAGCAGGAGTTTGCTGGTGAAGACCTGAGCCTCAAGTAGCAGCTGTAGGAATGGGAACCCCTGAGTGCAGGTCTAGGTGTTGTCAACATAGGTCATCCAAGGAGCATCCTACACATCACCAACACTTATGGGAAGAAGAAATCGAGGGGAGAAATAAATGTCAAGGAAGTAGAATTCCGAAGAGGCAACATCCTCATTTTTGTTTAAAATGTGGGAAAAATGGCTTGTGGAATACAATATTTTACAAATATTTTCAGTAATGACATTTAGAATGTTGAAGAACTGTGCTAAATAGTATGCCATATCATAACTGTACCTTTCAAATTACCATGAGGGGAAAAAATGCCTTTCAATCTCTCATCCTACTTTTTTGTGCTAAAACCATCAGTTTGAAATACCCAGTGCCTGGCAAGCAGTTTCTCTCTCTTGTGCTCCTTTGTGGTTGCATGCTGTTCATAGAAGTGGAACTGGACTCTTGCTTGATATGTTTTGCCTATTTTTTTTTTTGAGGAAGATTAGCCCTGAGCTAACATCTGCTGCCAATCCTCCTCTTTTTGCTGAGGAAGACTGGCCCTGAGCTAACATCCATGCCCATCTTCCTCTGCTTTTTATATGGGACGCCTACCACAGCATGGCGTGCCAAGTGGTGCCATGTCTGCACCCAGGATCCGAACCGGCGCAATCCAGGCCGCCAAAGTGGGACGTGCGCAGTTAACCGCTGTGCAACCGGGCCGGCCCCCTGTTCTGCTTATTTTTCTATCATTTTTTGAACTTTATTATTAATTTCTAGATACCCTCCTTTTATAAGGGAGACACAAACTGTACTTTTTTCCCCTCAAGTTTGTCATTTATCTTTTGAATTTCCCTATTTTGTTCTTTTAAATATTACCTGATCAAATTTATCTTTTCTCTTTTGACTTCTGGATTTTAACTTGTACTGAGATCTCCCTTGTGCCATTGTTACAAGGAAATTACTTTTTTTTTTTAAATTAATAGACTTTGTTTTTTAAAGCAGTTTTAGGTTTACAGAAAATTGAACAGGTTGTACAGAGAATTCCCATATACCTCCTTTCTCATCTGTACTCAGTTTCCTCTGTTATTAACATCTTACATTTGTTACAATTGATGAACCAATGTTGACACATTATTATTAAGCAAAGTGCATAGTTTACATTAGGGTTCTCTCTTTGTGTGATACAGTTCTATGAGTTTTAACAAATATATAATGACATGAATCCACCATTACAGTCTCATACAGAATAGTTTCATTGGCTTCAAAAATCCCGTGTTCCATCTGTTCATCTCTCCCTTCCACTCTCCAAGCACTGATCATTTTCCTATCTCTGTGGTTTTGCCTTTTCCAGAGCGTTGTGTAGGTGGAATCATACAGCATGGAGCTTTTTCAGATTGGCCTCTGTTACTTGGCAATATATATTTCCTCTATGTCTTTTCATGGCGGAAAGCTCATTTCTTTTTATCGCTGAATAAATCCCATTGTATGGTTGTATCACTGTTTATCCAGTCACCTATGGAAGGACAACTTGGTTACTTCACTTCCAAGTTTTGGCAATTGTGAATAAAGCTGCTATAAATGTCTATGTGTATGTTTTTTGTATGGATGTGGTTTTCCACTCATTTGGTTAAATACTTAGTGGTGTGATTTCTGGATCACGTGGTAAGAATTTTGCGTTCTCACCTACAGTGAGTGAGTTGTTGCTGCTCCACATCATTGCCAACCTTTGGTATTGTCAGTTTTCTTTATTGTAGCCATTCTAATAGGTGTGTCGTGTATCTCGTTGTTGTTTTAATTTGCAATTTTCTAATGGCATATGACATTGAGCATCTTTTACTACGCTTATTTACCATGTGTATATTTTCTTTGAAGGGGTAGATCTTTTGCCCATATTTTAATTGACTGGTTTTCTTATTACTGAATTTTGAGTTCTTTTGTATAATTTGGATACAAGTCCTTTATCAGATATTTGTTTTGCAAATATTTTCTCCCAATCTGTGGCTTGTTTTTCGTTCTCCTAACAATGTCTTTTGCAGAACAGTTTTTTTTTTTTTTAACATTTATTAAACTCAGGTTTTTTTGAGGAAGATTAGCCCTGAGTTAACATCCACCACCAATCTTCCTCTTTTTGCTGAGGAAGATTAGCCCTGAGTTAACATCCACCACCAATCTTCCTCTTTTTGCTGAGGAAGATTGGCCCTGAGCTAATGTACGTGCCCGTCCATCTTCCTCTACTTTATACGTGGGATGCCTGCCACAGCATGGCTTGATGAGTGGTGCCATGTCCCTGCCCAGAATTTGAACCAGGAACCCCAGGCCACCGAAGTGGAGCACATGAACTTAACCATTATGCCATTGGGCTGGCCCCAGAAATTTTTAATAATAATGAAATCAACTTAACAATTTTTTGTTTCATGGATCGAGCTTTTGGTGTTGTATCTAAAAATTCATTGCTAAATCCAAGGTCACCAAGATTTTCTTCTGTGTTATCTTCTAGGAGTTTTATGGTCGTATGTTTTGCATTTTTGTCTGTGATCCATTTTGAGTTAATTTTCGTGAAAGGTGTAAAGTGTCTAGATTCATTTGCTTGCATGTGGATGTCCTGTGGGTTTAGCACTGTTGGAAAGACTATCCTTTCTCCGTTAAATTGCTTTTGCTCCTTTGTCAAAGATCAGACTCGATTTGTGTGGATGTGTTTCTTCTCTTAATGTTTTAATGATTTCAATTTTGCATTTAAATCTTCAGTTCGTTTTGAATTTAACTCAGTGAATGGTATGAGGGATGGATCTAGCTGTATATGAGGCAGCCACATAGTTTGTCCTGACACAATTGAGATTAATGAATCTCAGTTTTCAAGATGTCATTTTGTATGCTGAGCATGCATATATTTGGGTCTACTTTTGGATTTTCTGTTTCATTAGTCTGTCCAGTTTTTTACTAGTAGCATTGCTTTAATTGT